CTGCAGCCCGGTGCAGCATCGGTGCATTGAAACCTGTGCATTATCAGTACTTTCTACATCTAGTAATATCAATACCTATACTGATGGAAAGATGCAATACCAGCAGGTTTATATATGAAGGAAAACTCTGTGACAGTAACAGAATTTAACACAGTCAGAGGAATTTGTGCAACATCTAGATTTTCTACTTATAGAATAATCTGGACATTATCAACAATACTTATGTATAGACTTACTTACTTACTTGTACTTTGAAGACAAAATGAACATCTTTGCTACAATACTTATGTGTATTTCTTATTCTATCTCATCTCATATCATCTAATCTCATTTTATGTTAACTCATCTCATCTGATCTTGTCTCATCTTATTGTATTTTAGCCCATCTTATTGTATCTCAGAGCAGAACCTAAAATCAGCCATACCAGACCACTGTAACAGACACATTATAGACTGGGACAATGCAAAAATCATTGGATCGGACAGCAACAAATTCAAACGAGGCCATAGGAATCAGGAGGCGAGCCAAAGACACCATCAGTCGTGATGAAGGGGCATTCATGCTGCCCCACACATGGGACTCTCTCCTGCAGAGACCACCGGGCGGCAGGAGGCGTGGCCCGTCGGGCAAATCTGACAGATCGCCAGGTGGGTCACGCCTCCAGGAAACCAGCAGCTGATAAGAACACGTCAGGACGGAGGTTGGGTGACGTTTCTCAGGAAAACTGAAGTGACAGTCTAAACATGTCCAAAAGACAAAACAGCTCCTTTCTAAATAACTCAGTGTCTGATAAGAAAAGAAACCTTCTATCTTATCGTATCTCATCTCATCTGATATTAGAATATATCAGTTGATTGGACAATGTTGCATTTTTCAGGTGTCACACTTCATAATGGTGTACAATGTTTAATTTCTTCTTTCTTTTTTTTTGCAGCAGCAGTATTTCTTTATCCTGTGTAAGACTTTAACTTCATGTGGAGCACATCTGACAGAGTCTTTAGTTGAGCCTGTTTCTGAAAATCTAAACAGCTAAAACTCAAAAGATGCTGCTGAAATCTGTCGGTTTTGGAAGTCATGCAGCCTGAAAGTGAGACGAGATGCAAAACGGAGCCATTAGATCCGGAAACAGAAAGAAATTCATGGCCGTCTGCTGCGAGGAGAAATGAAATCAGCTGTGGCGCAACAGAATTTCCCTTTTAACGTGATGCAATAAAACACCAGAGTGGTAACAGGGAGTACGTGCAAACCTGCACATCTGCACCTGCATCAGTGGAAAACTTTACATTTTAGAAAGAAACGTATTGTATGTGTGAACTCTTTGCTGTATTTGCTTTTAAAGCACAATTTTGCTTCCCAAAGAGTTGTTAAAGGCGGCAGATGCTAACTGGAACACCTTAAAAGTGATTTGGAGACATGACAAGTTAACATGTGCATCATATATTTTGTGTTATAAAGAATAAAATATGAGCAGACCTGCGAGGTGGTGGCCTCTGTCCCCGCAGATTAATCCTCTCAGCTTCATATTTCTCTCGTTTGCCGGCCTTCTGCAGGAACATGGAGGGGAAGTGACCGGTCTCCTCTCCTTTCCTGTGCAAAAAAAAAAAAAAAAAAAAGGCAATAATGAGCTTCTTTCTTCTTAACACGGCTGCATTACTCATGTAGAGGAGACATAAATCTGTTTATTCACGAACATAGATCAGCAGATTTCTTTAGGGGGGAGGTCTTGGCTTTAAGTTTGAGTGAAATCTGGCATTTCTACTAAAATTTGAAGTGCAAAGGAACAAATTGTTGCGTAAAAATTCACCAGAATGCAGGAAATTGTGTCTCGTCCACGATGTTCAGATGAAACGGTTTATGGTTACGCAGGTACGCGGAAAAAACACTTCTCAGCGGCGCAGCTATTTAATGAAAGATGTCAGTACATCACATGATAAACAGTACAAATGACCTGTTGATAGCTGCTTTGTAAACACAGCCTGAAAAACAAGCTTCGAGTTGGAGCCCACAGTGGAATTCACTTTATCCGCATGTTTCAACCTTAAACTACGTTCTCAATAACGCTTTGAAAGCAACGTATTTTCCCCTTTAAAAAAAACAACAAAAGAAAACAAAGTGTGTGTCGTGTCCTCTGAGGTGATGTGGATCTCACCTGACAACCCACCAGCCGTCCAGCAGCTTGTGAATGACCTCCACGGTTTCACCAATCTCCAGAGAAATCTCGTCCCCTTGCTCCGCCTCGTAGGCCTGGACGGTGACGTGCAGCTCGCCTGCAGAGATGCGCAGCTTTTTAAATCAACACGACCGCGTGGAAAGAGACGCGATGGGCGACGTGACAAAACAACGCTCACCTTCGTAGTCGGGCTCAGCGTCCTCGGCCTCCTCCGGTCCGTCCAGAGGCTCCAGGTAGGACGCAGGAATCCAGCCTCGTTTCGTCTCGAACTGGCAGAACCACCAACCTGAATACAAAGACCGAACCACAGCAGCTCAGTATTGACCCACGTCTTCACCTTTCATTGACAAGAATTGACAATAAAGACTGTTTCATGTCAAAGTGAAAAAACGTTTCTACAAAATATGGTCTAATATATTTAAAAAATATATAAACCGTGAAAGATTTGGTTGCATCAGTGTTCGACCCTTGAAGTCAGTATTTGGAAGCTGCATCTGTGGCTGCAGTTACAGCATCGAGCTTGTGTTGGTCTCAATCAGCTGGAACATCTGGACGCTGCAATTTGACCTCATTCTTCTTGTAAAACTGTTCAAACTCTGTCAGGAATCATGAGTGAACGGTATGTTTGAAGTCCAGCCACAGATTATCAGTTGGACTGAGGTCTGGACTCTGATATGGTGACTCCAAAACATCCACATCATGAAGCTGCCACCAGCGTGCTTCACATTCTGAGTCACTCTCTCATAAAGCTTCGACTGGTGAAAAGCACGCAGCAGTTTTTATATACGCAGTCACTCCCATCTACACCGATGCTGCCTGTAACTCCTTCAGAGGATTCATAGTTGTCTTGGTGGCCTCCCTCACTCGCCTCTCTCAGTTTTTGAAGATGTCCTGCTCTAGACAGATGCATGCTTGTGCCATATTCCTTCTACGATTACTGAGCATTGGTTATTTTCACATTAATCTACAGATTATTTATTCAATTTGAGAACTTGGAGCCATTTTATATGAAAAAGAGGACATAAACAACAGTCTAGTTTTCCACCAATTTAGCTTTACTTGTACGATGTGCTGCTGGGTGGTTAAGTTGGTCACAAAAATCATAAAATATGAGCTGATTGTTGTGTTTCCTGTGCATGAATCCAATATATGTACCGTCTGTGGTAACTGCAGTTACAAAATCTCTTTGTTTCAGCGCCTTTGAAAGCTGCTCCGTAAATAACTTAAACCTGATCATTGCAAAACAAAAACCTGATCACAAAACGTATAATTGTAAGTGCCTGATGTTGTACAGTTTAGCTATTATTTCCTCTTAAGATAATGATTAAGAAAATGATTATGAATACTGTCTTATGTTGATCCAGAAAATGTGAAATGCTGCATAGATGCTACTTACTGTTTTGCACTGCAGCAAGAAAAAAGGACAAATAATACTTTTTCACTCTGGACACAGGTGACATGACCTATTTGTGACTTTATTTTTTATATTTTCTTTCCTGATTTTGTGCTCACCGTTCTGATTTTTCTCCACAATCTCCACCAGGTCGCCGGTGTGCAGGTTGATCTCGTGTTTGGACGTCTTTTCGAAGTCTGCGATCACTCTGTAGGTGTCCAGGATGATGGGGCCGGAAATCTCTGGGAGGTAAAAACACGAGTGTCTCTTTTAATTTCAGGCAACCTGTGGACAGTCTGAGTCGCTAAAGAACTCGTAGCTGTGAATAAAGTCGAGTTTACTGATGCTATTAACTTTCCAGAGGAACGTACTCGTTCTCCAAGATATTAAACACAGTTATACGTGTGTGTTTGAATGACTGTCTGAGTCGGTCTGTTTTATGGAGGTAGCCCTAATTAGGGTCCTTGCCAATTTGATAAAATGAAAAAAAAAACAAGAAAATGCTCTCTAGCAGCACCTAGTTACAGAAAAACACACTAAACTGGCCCTAGCGCCCAGTAGGAATGTCGTACAGAGATCAAACCAACATCAAAATGTTCGTTTCAATGAGACCCACAAATCTCGCACTGACACCCCTGACCTATCTCCAACAGGAAGTCCACAATTTGCCTTTCAAAGTAAAAAAATGAGCAAAAACTTCTTTTGTGAAAAAATTATCTTGTCTGACACCGTAAATCGCACCAACTTGAAAATCGCACAGGAGACAGAGAAGGCCTTGATGTACAAAAGTTCTGAAGGGATTTCGCGTTTCTTTTCGAATGGCGAGCCGTTAAAGTTGATGAGCTGCCTCAGCCTCGGCTCATACTTTGTATGGGTGTCTATGGGGGCATATGCTGACATGATGTGTCAATTGGTCATCTACACAAAAAACTAAAGGTCCTACAGCTTTAAAAATGACACTGAGGGCTTCCTAACAACATTTCCCACAAAAATATGTTGTTTTTACATACATTTGGTGAAAATTGTGGCTGTATGGGAGAGAGAAAGCGAGTAAAACTCTCAGCTCTCTCTCTCACCCAGGGGCACGAAAAACGCTGAGTCATCATGACATCATCACAGGTCAGTGCAGCAGGTCATGTGACTCACTGACAGTCTGAGGCTGAGCAGAGAGAGAAAAATGGCTCCTTCACCTTAAAGCAGGTTTAACTTGAAGAACGGTCAGACGGGCATGAGGGTCCAACGCAGACCGAGGACCCGACCAATGCTGCTTGCAGCTTTAATTGTGTTTGTCATCCATTGATAAGAAAAAACTCACACTTGCAACAAAACCCTTGTGATGATTGTGTGTGCAGAATAACAACACAGAGTTATAGGTTGTAAACATCTGAAGCTGTTCATTTTACAGTGAATTTCAGCTTAAATGACTCCTACCAGATGCGATGCCTCTGTTCAGCTCCCTGGACACCACGAACGTCTCGTTTCTTTTCAGCCTGCAGAGAAAATTGATTTGTTTTAAAAATAATTTCTTCTGCATTGTAGTTTACACTTTCTGTTTGCTTGTAAACGAAGCAGGGATCTTTTGAGATGCACTCACGTGTGCTGGGCCGGCGGGTTTTCGTCCTCCGGTCGGACCTTGAAGAAGCTGGACAGCAGTTTGCAGCGGGAGATGTGAGGCGGCAGGTTGACCAGCGAGTGGCAGTACTCGGCCAGCGTGGTCTTCCTGGTTTCTCTCGACTTCTGGCTGTCCACCCACCGTGGAGCTGACCACGCAAACACAAACAGTCGAGACGGATTCCAGGTGAAACAAAAAAAAACCCACAAAAAGACGCCCTGTGACTCGGTGCTTCTTTGGGGTTTTTGTGCATGCAGACATGGCAGATATTCAAAAATATAACAGAAAAAAAACATACAGCGCAATACCGGACCACCGTTTGATATGTAAGTCATCCCTTGTGCAGAAAATATCATAAAACATTCAAAAATATTTAAAACAAGACAAAGCAGACAAGGATTCTTACATGCAAAAACACTGTTTTCATGCACTGGTTAAGTTTGAGATTTCATTCAAACTTGTGCAGAGAAAACATCCAAAAACATCCATTTATGTGTTTATTTTACTGCAATTTGTCCATTTTCATTTGTAGATTTCAATATCTTTAAAGTTTGTTTCGGCAAAATGATGAGTTTTCCTCAGACTGTAAACCATGATTCTGCACCTCAGCAGCGTTTACATCCACCAAACTTTCCGGTTGCGTTTTTACAGATGAGTTTGTTCGTGTATCACTCACAGCCGGACTTCTTATTCCCAAAAACATGGGGAAAATTGTTTCTCTTTTAGTCGATTCATTGAATGATGATGATCCCAAATCTCCTCTATGAAAGCCTTTTCCTCTAATATGTTACATGAGTTTAAATTTGTGTTCTGGAAATGAATGAAGAGCCTTTTTTTAAAATGAGGCTGCACCTCATCTGCACACATAAATGTAAAACAAAAAAATAAATGAGTAAGCTGTAATAGAAAATATGATCTTCTTAACGTGAGCAGTCAGTCGGGGATTTTCATCTCGATATCTGTCAGTTAAAATTTGACCTTTCAGGACAACGTTGTGTTTAACGGACAAAACTTGTAGCGCATCAACGCATCACAGTCCAACAGTAAAGCACAATTTTAGAAAGAGGAACTTCTGTTTTTAATGGTGCATTCATATTCAGAAGTATAACTGAAATGTAAAACCCGTTAGAATCTAAATAAATATCTGAAAACGTCTGTTAGAAACCAGCAGCAGCTATTTTCTTCCTCTGAATTCAACATCTTGTCGTAAAAGTGAAATATTACAATAAAGTCAAATATGACAAGTGGTGAATTAAACTTTTGGACGTTTGTTTGGTAGAATGTGTACATTACAGATTTATATTAGAAAATGCGTACTGTGTAGTATGAAGTTAAAAGTACCGACTGATTTGTGAGCTTTGTTTAGCATTTTAGTTGCACAAAAGTCTGATTTTGTGTATTCACACTTGTGCATCCCGGCTGCTGTTGCATCAGATCTGAGGTTTTGTCTTTGCTTCTCCTTCTTCACGTCGCAACGAGTGTTTTGTAATTAAAGTTTCACAAGGGGAATGTGCAAAGCGGTAGTTCTGTTTTCATTAAAACCGTCGCTCGGCGTCTGAACAGGAACAGAAAATGATGGTGAAAACACAGACAGGTTTTTTTCTTTTTGTGACACCTGGCTGTCAGTAAAAATGTGAAAGTCAAATGGGAAATGCCCCAAAATTTTACAATCGCACTTCTGGTTTTCCTTTTTTTGGTTACAGTCGTGGACATTTATAACTGTGTCTTCATGCACAGTAGACATTTCTGAGTTCTATCTGCTTCTCGTCATGGTTGTTCAGTTTCCATAGAGGTGCAGGACTTTATGTTGCAGAAAGAAATGACGCCACAGTGACTAAAAGTGCATTTGTTCCACTTGCAAAAAGAAGAGAAGTAAATTCACCCACATGTGTTTGATAATCACAGGTGCTTCCTGAAAGAGCATCAGCGTGTAGAGGGGGTTTTAACTGAAATAGGGATGTTTCTTTTTATACTACTCTGTGGTTTTATGTGTAATTCATGGTGCTGTGTTCATGTTGACCTCTGCAGCGTCTAACTAAGTGCTTATGCAAAGTATTCAACCCCTTTGGACTCCTTATATTAGTTCAACGTTGAATAATGGTCAATATAGTTTGGCTATTTTGATAAGAATTCACAAAAAAAAATGTTCACAGTTGTTCAACGTGAAAATAGATTTCAACAAAATAATGTCAATTAATTAAAAATATAAAACGTAAAATAAGTGCCTGTGTAAGTATTCACCTCCTTTAAAGTGACTGATCTGACACAGGTGCCACAAGTCACACAAGAAATAAAATCAATCGAGTCCACTTAAATCCATCATTAGGAAACGGAAGAAAGGTAATACGTGTAAGAGTGACAAGAAAGAGGCGAGCGAAGGAGGCCACCAAGACTCCCATGACCCCTGTTAAGGAGTTACAAGCTATAGCAGCTTTTTGGTCATCAGACTGGATGCTGTATCTGGTGGACACCAAATATACTCATCACTGTAAACACGCCATCCCTACTGTGAAGCACGGTGGTGGCAGCATCATGATATGAAGTATGGTGGTGGCAACATCATGATATGAAGTATGGTGGTGGCAACATCATGATATGAAGTATGGTGGTGGCAACATCATGA